TTTATGGTAACTGCCATAGTTTCCTCTAGGCTGTGAGCTCCTTTGAGTCAGGAACCATCTGGAGCACCTACTCAGCACTAAACCCAGAGCAAAGCACTAGTAACACCATGAACAAGACAGACCAGGCCTCTGCCTTTTTTAAAAAAATATATTTTATTGATTTTTTACAGAGAGGAAGGGAGAGGGATAGAGAGTTAGAAACATTGATGAGAGAGAATCATCGATCAGCTGCCTCCTGCACACCCCCTACTGGGGATGTGCCAGCAACCAAGGTACATGCCCTTGACTGGAATCGAACCCAGGACTCTTCAGTCCCCAGGCCAACGCTCTATCCAGTGAGCCAAACCGGCTAGGGCAAGGCCTCTGCCTTTTATGTTGCTTAGAGCCTTGTGTTATGAGTGTCCTACTGGCCAGGAGCTCCTTGAGAGCAGGGTCTGGACTGTTTCCTATTGTATCCTGCATACCAACCACAGGATTTCTTAACTTAGTTGTACCAATGAACATTTTCTGAATGAGCGAGTGCAGAAAAGATGACAATGAAGACTGAGGCATAACTGACTTCATGTTTACCCCCAGGCACATTCAGCCTCTTAGGGGAACATAACTCTTCTCTAAAGTCAGCTTTCTGGAAAATTTCTGAGGAAGCGAGGTATTGATCACCCAAGCTCCCCAACCTGAGTGGTAGATGTCAGTATTTGTAGAGTCCTGTTTGCTCAACCCCTAAGCATCTCACAGTTCCAACTCAGAAAGCTGTGTTCTCTCTGTCCTAAACCTCTGGAAACAGGCTCTTGTTAGTCTAGACCAGTGGTCGGCAGACTGCGGCTCACGAACCACATGCGGCTCTTTGGCCCCTTGAGTGTGGCTCTTCCACAAAATACCGACTTCTACGCATGGGCCGCGAAGTTTCAATCGCACTGTACATGCGCGCCCACACGTGGTATTTTGTGGAAGAGCCACACTCAAGGGGCCAAAGAGCCGCATGTGGCTCGTGAGCCACAGTTTGCTGACCACTGGCTCTAGACTAAGGAGGAAGAAACAGGTTCACTAGCTTCCTCAGCAGTCTGCAGCCAGGAGCCAGAGGGCATAAGGAGGCACACTGGGCAAAGTGCTAAACTTGGGACTCAGGCAGAGCTGGGTGGGAATCCAGGCCAGGCCCACCACTTACAGGACTTTGAGTAAGGCACTTCACCTCTAAATCCCGCAGTTCCCACATTTCTAAGATGGGGATTATAGTGTATTATTCACAAGGGTGGGGGGTCGGGTAGTTTGAGGATTAAAAAAGAATCCTCTTAAATGGCCATCTGCTCCCTTCCTGACTTGAAGCGGAAGTGCCCCCTCGTGGCTGATACACATCCTGCTCCTGCTACAGCGAGACGAATGCTACTACCAGACTGACCAGTGTGATCAGTAAAACCAATATTCTAGGATTCCTACTGCAGTTTTTGGAAAACACCCCATTCACTGTCAGTCCCGGGGTGCAGCCCTCGTTCAGCTTTTCCCCGGTAACTGTCACCGTCTCCTCTCTGGTTTCCTGCGACAGGTCAACCCTTCTACTGTATGGAGCCCAAAGCACAGCTGTCATTTTCCACCAGCCAAACCCTTACCTGTTCCTTGGGGAGGTGCTGGGGTAACTGAGAGTGACAGCCCGAATAACTACCGGCATCCCTGACGCCGGTTAGGACTTGGAGTGTCCCCCGTTCAGAGTTATACACCTGGATCAGAGCTGAGCTCACTTAGTTTGGGCCCTGTGTTTTCAGATGAGGAAATGAAGGCTCACAGAAGGAAAAGTGACTTGGGAAGGTCACATCCAGCTAGTAGCCAGGCTGGGGCTCGACAGGGCTTTCGATTCTGTTTGAAGTCTCCTTCACAACTCCACTCTTGCTTTCTCGGGGCTGGGGTGGGAAGGTGAACACACACATAAACATACACACCAAACCCCTCCTGGCCTGGGGCCAAGCCCCTCGATCAGAGTCACCTTAGGGTCATTTTCTTTTCCCTGTGCCCTCCCCAGCACTGCGGGGACAAGTTATAAAGTACGTGCTCAGAGATGATGAAGCTGACCTAATTGGCTCTGGGGAGAACTACACTTGCTGTAATCTTGGTGGTTTTCCTACAGAGCAACTGTTTGGCTGGCCGGAGCCTAAGTAGGCTGGTAACTTGACTCCCTTTTCAAACTGTCAACAGTGGTATCAGCAGCCTTATTAAAATTGATGTCAGCACAACTTGACAGGGCTGGAGAAGAGGGAAGGTCATAGCCTAAGGGTAAAACCTCTGTGGTTCTGCCTCGCCTTTCTCTGGTTGTAGGGTAGTGTACCCCAAATAGAAATGCCAGAAATAACAAAGGAGTGACTCTGCTGTACTATGCCCACGTGTTAAGGTCGGAATCCTGGTGATGGGGGTGGGGGACTAGCCTCTTACACAAGATGTCTGCATTTCCTTGAGAAATGCCAGTCACTCCTCGGCTCCTGGATTCCCGTAGGAGTGAATTCAAGGTAAGAGCACGAAGTTGAAAACAGGGCCACATCGTTTCCCGCCTCGGTCCTTTCACTACTTCACCAGGTGAGCCAGCTGTTGTCCCTCTCCAGTGCCTCGGCTTCTCCATCCCTACAATGAGCAATGGCCCCAAGGCTCTTATTATTACAGAACAGGGAAGGGCTGGTGGAAAATGTCACAGGGACAGAGCAGTTGCTCTGGCTGGAGGCAGGGTTATATGTGAAAGAGATGCCTCTACTGACCACAAAGGACCAAGTCAGGACTAGCCCATCACAGCTCCCAACCTGCTCAGATATTTTAATGGCTCAAATATGTGCTGCAAAAGCTGGAGGCCAACCCGCTCAATGAAGGTCTGGCAACTCCAGAAATACGGTCTGTTCTGTGAACTCATTACCAAAAAGCTTGCTGCTGCTTAAGAATTTAAGATTTGTCTTTCGTCAAGAATAGCTGAGCCTCAAGGACCTCCCAGAGGTCAGAATGCCACAGGCTTCTGGGAAACCTAAACTTAGAAGAAAAACATGGTAGAAATGAAAATGTGGCTTGATAATTCCTTAGACACGTACTGGCCATATGTAGTAGGCCAAGTTGACGTTTTACAAAGTGAATACGTAAAAGCCCAGCTGGTGTGGCTCAGTGGTTGAGACATGACCTCTGAACCAGGAAGTCAGAGTTCAATTCCTCACTGGGGCACATGCCCTGCTTGTGGGTTCTATTCCCAGTAGGGAGCAAGCAGGAGGCAGCAAATTGATTCTCTCTCATCACTGATGTTTCTCTCTCCCTCTCTGAAATAAAATCATTTAAGACAAAACAAAGTGAATGCATAAAAAGGTTTGGCCTTCTCTAGGATAAGGTCCCAAATTACTACTCCAGCCTCACCTGGCCATTCCCCTTTTCATTCTTTCTCTAGTCAAATTTGCATGTACTCAGTAATCCCTACTTCTGCTCATCATGCTCCTCCCTCTTTCCTCCATTCCTATTTCTAAATTCTACACATATTTGCATGTACAGCTCAAGCAGTTTCCTTCCTAGGAAACTTCTGCAATCCTACCTAGAAGCCATCTTTCCAGCCTGAGCTAACACTTACTGGACTCTTGTTCTGACCCAGTAAATATCATCCCCATGTTTCCTCTTCTCTGCTCTGAGCACCTAAGGGCTGGCTTGTCTCTAACCCAACACCCTCCTTCTTGCCCAACCCTGGCATATCCTCGGTTCTTGGAAGATACTGGAAAGTTTTATAAACTTGAGAAAGCAAGGAAAACAACCATCCAAAGTTACATTTTCTATGTGACATCATCTGCAAAACCTAAGGACACTTGGGCTACAGAAGAAAATGCTTTATAATGAATTGAAGGTTTGCCAAATAGCAGATAAGGTCTGTGGTTGAGTAAAATAAAGTAGTATCTGCTAAACCAGAAATCAACCCAATTTTCTTGAATTTCCTTTGCAAAATGCACACTCTAAAAACTAGTGACTTCAAATTTTAAAATAGGTATTTTGGGGGTTCCAATGATACTATGTAACGTTTTCTAGATATAAATTCCAATCTTAAAGACTACTTTTACACACACAAAATCCCCACTCATTCTAGTAGCTTATAGCTAAAACAATCCTCAAATATTCCACTTAAAAAATATTGGCAGTGCAGTCACACATGAAGTGGTTGAGCCACTGAATAGACTGCAGAATATCTTACCCCTCCCCCAAATCCCTGTAAGATCTGTAAGAATAGAGAACATTTCCATCTTCTGGAAAAGCTGAACTGACCTCAGGCAGTGCCTACACTCCTGCCCTTCCACAAGGCTTTTCACGTCATTCCTCCTTAGCACGCCTGTCTTGGTAACACACCCTCTGTTCACCTGTCAGTCAAACCCTACATTTCAGCCTTGGTGTAAAGCCCATGTTTTCTTCAGACCTTCCTGTCAGTGAGGGCCACAGACCATCAGTGCGGCAGGACTTCAGAAGCCACTAGGTCACACCCCTCCGATTTGTAGACTGGGAGGTGATCCAGGATCAACACAGGTCGCCCAGGAAATCAGCAGCAGCGTCAGAACTAGAATTCAGATCTCCCGGGACCCAGGGCAAGGTCTTCTCCTTTATACTAGCCTCTCTTCCTTAATTCAACTATTATGTGCACCTCACATTATTTTGACTTGCTTTCAGGGCCTCCAGAGCACTGCATTTCAAACGTTATTTTTGAAGTCCCCTTCATTTACTCCCAGTCAGCAAAAATGAGAATTGGACTTAAATGCAAAAAGATCCTACACACCCGTACATTTCCCTTCAATAAACACGAATATAAAAATGCCAAAGAAACCAGTTCTTCAGTGTGTTTTAAACATGAACTTACAGTTAAAGTCTAATTTAAAAATGTAAGCATACAACTAGGCTTTACCAAAGAGGAATGTGTTTATTTCACTGAAATTCTTAAAAATATTTTTTGGCAGTTGTCACATAAAATGTCCTAATGTAAAAAAAATGTCATTAAAAAGAACAGAAAGGCATGAAAAAACAGACCCAAAATGTTAAGATTTTATTTACAAGGCTTCTTGTTGTACAGAAAGTAAAAATGCTGTTACAGTCTTGGTGTAACTGGTAGCCACAGCTGGTTGCCTCACCAATCACAGCTATCCACGCTACAGCAAGAGTCTTACATGAAAACCTAACAACGCTTACAATGTTGTTGGGGTGCAGTCCCCAAGCTTGGTGGTGAATTTCCAAAAGGGACTAAATGGAGGAAGGCGGAATGTCACAGGAACTATTCTTTGGCTCTTTGGGTGGGTGGGTGTCCTGGGGTTTGTATCACAGCTACCTTTTTTTTTTTTTTAAACAGCTACCAAATCCATATGATGAGCAGTCCAACCAATACTGAACAGTTCTTTTTTTTTGCAGATTATTTGGGTTCTTAATCATCTTCTCCTTCATCATCTGTTTCTCTCTTCCTCTTTTCACCTTTCCCGCTTTCTTCCTCCTCTGTACAATAACAAAAATTCACTTTGAGACAATTGGAAAGGCATTTTGCCTAAGTTATTGCTAACGAAGGTAAAAACAATGAATTTTCTGATGGTTGAGATGATAAAAAAAAGATGCCAGCTAAATCTGATAGGCAGGTTGTTAATTAAGAGCTATTAATTTTAAAAAGCATAGTGACCACAGAACCAAGAAGGCAAAATGCACAGCAGCATCTCAAATCACAACAAAGTTAAGCCAGTTTCCTCAATTTTAAGTTGCAGTCTCCCAAATGTTTCTTACACTTGTTGGTCCATTGAGAGATTTGCTTATCAGGGACTTTGGAGTTAGTTAGCCTGTTTCCTTGTTTATAAAATGGGGACAATGGTACTAACTTGGAGAGTTACTCTGAAGACTAATGGAGATAACAGTATTTAGTCTTGAACATGGCAAGATTCAAATTGTAGTGAGTTGATATTAACTAAAAAGAGATTTCTAGATGCCTCAGGTTTTTGAGACAGAGACCTATATATCATTGTTTTTTCAACTAGTAAAAATTCATGGCTATTAAATGAAATTAACTAAATCTGTGTCAAACTATGTTCCATAAAGCTCCTGGGAGGCAGAAACCAGGTCCCAAGGATTGCTCTTCTATCACTGTAAATTTAGTCCAGTGCGTGGCACAGAGAACAGATGCTGGGAAAAAAAATTGAACCAATGGAAAGCACGCAAACCACCTGGTATTCTGAAACCTATATATGCATGAGAATCTGTGCTTTCAATGAGTAATTAACAAATGGATATTTCACTGGTTTGGGTTAAGGTGGAAAGGAATAACACTAATAAAATTGGAAAGGTGTTATGTATACATTCTGCAAAAATTATGACACAATTACTAAGACTCTTGTAAATGAAAGAATTGAAAACACAGAAATCTTATGCCTGGCAATAATCTGAATGATGGGTCCTAAAAACATAGTTCAAGTGTGGGGACTGAAAACTGGGCCTCCTTCCCTCAGAGAGACAGTCTTAATTACTTGCTACATAGAGCAGGTGAACTACACCAGTGTAGACACGCTGACAGGGCTACACAAGGGCCTGTGAAGACCACCAGGGCAAAGGGCATTTTTTTTCTTCTCAGTGGTTGTGACAAATTCTAAGTTAATGGGACAGCTGCCCCATACCCCGATTTTTAGCTGAGGAGGACCAAAATGCATGCTTCACACCCACCTTCATCCTCATCCTCATCCTCGTCGTCTTCATCTTCATCAACTTCTCCATCATGTCCAAATTCTTCTTCCTAAAGAATAGTATGGCAATTATCATTATTAGATTAATTCTGCCAAGTTGATAAGTACAAAAAGTATAAATTTCCCAATAAATGTAACAATCCATCAAGGAGAAAACTTTTACGTTTTTATCTACTTTGATGTACTGAGATATGTGGGTTTCTCTTAATAAGCTTAATTTAAATTCTTCTTTAAAAATTCCCAGCTGATGTGGCTCAGTGGTTAAGTATTGACCCATGTACCAAGAGGTCACTGGTTCGATTTCTGGTCAGGGCATATGCCCAGGTTGCAGGATCGAACCCCAGTAGGCAGAAGACAGCTGATGGGTGATGTTTCTTATCTCTCTATCCCTCTCCCTTTCCCTCTCTCTAAAAATCAATAAAAACATACTTTAAAAAAAGTTGCTTTTCAGAAGTAAGCATTTCATTTACCAGACATTCTTAATAGTATACAAGTTTAAATGAATAATTCAAGAAATGGTTTTAAAATCTTGAATTTCAAAGCAGGTTTGGACAAAGATTTCTACATTACCATCATTATAAAATGTTTCCTTCAGGAACTTAATTTCATTAAATACCTTATGAGATTATACAAATGCTCAGCCTTACTTCTGTACAAAAAAAGAACATGTTTTTGGTGATGTCTAACTTTCCTGGCCTGTTGTTTTCACAAACCTCCTTGAGGGTCAAAGTTAAGTCACTCCTTTCTCCTGTCCTTCTATGGCATTCAACTCCTTACTGACATTGTGTTACTTAGGGGTTCCCTTAAACTAGACTACCTGCTCTTGCAGGGTAGGACCACGTTTAAAAAAATGTTATTACTTTGGAGAGAGAGAAATATTGATGTGGGAGAGAAACATCGATCAGCTGCCTCCTTCACATCCCCTCTACTGGAGATTGAATCCGCAACCCAGACATGTGCTCTGACCAGGAATCGAACTGGTGTCTTTTTGGTACATGAGATGACACTCAACCAAGTGAGCCACACATGCCAGGGCAGGACCACATCCCTATTTAACTTGGCATCCCTAGCTCTTTTAACACAGAAGGTGTATATTTGCTGAATTAGGCTGAATATACAAGAACAAGTCAAGACCTGGTAAACATACCCGTCCTTTCAATACAACAAAGGAACAGACATACCTTCAGTTCTCAATGTTTCCAGTTTTCTCACCCTACTGAATGAATACTCAACTCACTGCTTCCTCCCAAAGTTAAAGGGTTAAAACTTACTTTGCAGAGCCAAGAACTGTGTCCTGTAGCATTCAGTAAGCATTCCATTTAGTATTTATTAAGAGAGTGGGTTTATAAGTGCTAAATTAATCAGACTGATATTAGTCTACTCAAACGTATATTATTTTCTTCAGAAGGCCTTTCTTTTTCTTTCCTTTCTTCTTAAAAAGGAATCTATACTTTTAATCATTTTAAATAGGAAGCAGAGTTGCACTGACCTCCCCACTGACTTCATCTTCATCCTCTTCTCCTTCTACATCTTCGTCTTCATCTTCATCCTCTTCATCATCAAATTCTTCTTCCTCACCATCCTCATCCTCCTCGTCCTCCTCATCTTCTCCTTCTGAAAACAGTCCAAAAGGAATTCATTAAATACCCTTGATGTCCCATGAGAGTACATCTGCTAGATGTTGAGAAATTATGGGTTGGTCCACAGGACAAATGCTGGACTACACCAACATCAGGGGAAACCGTGAACCACAGTTACCCTCTTGCTCCCAAGCTGCTGTAGCTCAGTCCTTGTCCTACAGAATCCCACAACATCTGGAGGCCAGGACTCCTGGGAGACTAGATGGACACTATAACACTTTATCCAGGTCTGGCATTTGACTGCAAGTAAGGAAGGGGGAAGAGGGTAGGGATGTGCATGTATAAAACATGATCAGTTATGAACCAGAACTATTAAAGGTCAGTCATGGGAACATGAATGTTTTACTATTTTTTCTACCTTTGTCTATGTCTAAAATTTTCCACAGTAAAAAGTCACAAAAAATTGAAACAAAAATATTCTTCTGAGGTAAGGGTACGACTACAAAGCTGCCCAAATGGGGAGCTTGGGAGATGCCGACTAACAAACCTGTGACAAGCTGCGGAGGCATCTCCATACCGTGTCTCCATTTGGTGGAGGCTTCTAGCCAAGCAGTTACCTCTCTGGTCCCAGAGCTTGCTGAGCTCTATTCTGCCTCCTAGCCTCTCAACACTCTTCCCTCTTCTGTTTGGCTAACACGGATTCAACCTCTGAATCTCAATGAAAAATCACTTCCTTGGGCAGATAAGCCAGACCTACGAATCCCAGCTCTCTCTCACACAAGCACCCCGTTCTTCTCCATGACCTCACACCTTGCTCACTTGTGATTATTTAACACTTTCTTCTTCGTAGGAAGCTCCAAGAGGACAGAGACCATGATGTGGTTCTGAGGAACCCTCCACCCCTCCAAAAGTTTTCTTTACAGGCTCTTTCACAGGTGGCCGTTCAGCCTGTTTAAAATGAACCTCAACAGACCACAGGAGGCACAAAGGGTTCTTAGGGATAACTGAAAACCTGTGGTGAGGGGAACAAGTGACATAAATATTTGGAAGAAGGTGAGATGTCCTATTTTGTGACATCTTACAGACTTCACAGCCATGAGTTTGATATGCTTGTCTTACATCCCATCCTCTCTCTTTTTGCCTTATCTCAAATCTCCTGCAAAATCAAACTGTAAAGATGCTTCCAGAGCACAGCACCAATAATGGCACCAAGTTGCCTGATGTTTTTTCCTCCTCTGCTTTTCTTAATCATTTCTGTCTTGTACATTTTTTATTTTAAAGAAAAGAGATATTTAAAAATAATGAGTCTAAAAGCTAACTAGATGTAAAAAACCTTGATCAGATGTCAATGATAAAACCTATCTTCTAAATCCATGTTATATCCAGAGATTATTTCCCTTATTAATGAAAAATGGAACCTAACACATAGTACTTTGAAATCATCATCTTCTTAGACCCTAGTAATATATTAAAGGCAGGAAACCTATTTTATTTATATTTGGATATAACAAACATATACCAAGTACCTATGAAGTTTTAGGTCCTTTGAATAAAGAAAAAAGCCCGACCCAAGAAAATAATCATAGCATAGTTGGAAGGGACAAGAATAGCAGAGAGACAGGTGCTACGAAAGAGGTAGCAAGGGGATGTTCTAGCATGTTCACGAATCTAATCTCTCGAGGGTATCAGGAGAGTCTTCCTGGAAGTGTTGACAAAGATGAGTTTTGTAAGGATAAGTAAGCAGTAACCACAGCAGGGGAACAGCTAGGAGGAAGACAGAAATGATGGTCTCTTTAGTAAACTGTAAATCACAAGTACTTCAATGGATGGAGCAGTCCATGACTTCTAGGCTGGAAATCCAAGACATTAGCTAACAAACCATTTTTATTTGGAATCATTTAAAGGCTTCAATGTCCCAAGCACTTAGTAAAATTAAACAGAAGTTGTAACTCCAAATTAAATGGAATGCCTACATGTATGCATATAAATTCTTTTTCTCAACAGCAAGAACATTCAGCAGCTTTATCAGGACCCTGGAAGGCAGAAATTAGGTTGACGGAAATAATGTCCAATTACCTTCATCATCCTCTTCTTCATCCACACCGTCCACCTCAGCATCTGAATCAGGAGCTTCTCGATCCTCTCGGTCATAGCCATCCAGGTAAGTCAGCTGGGGCAAGAGCTTGAAGACACTCTCTCGGTAGTCATTCAGGTTAGTAACCTCACAGTTAAACAGATCCAGGCTTTTCAGACATTCCAACTTTTTCTGAAGGATTGAAAAAACATACTTCCTAAACCAAAGGAACCTAAGCAACAAAACCCATCTCCTAAGAGGTAAAAGTCTAGGCTCATATTTAATTAGGTACTACCCACTCAACCTTGTACATAGGAAAACATTTCAACTCCTTTGCAATCTTTATATTAGAGGCCACTAGAGATTTGTAACTAGTCCTTTCTTTCTACATCTACCCTTCTCAAAGAACTGTCTCTTTTTTTTTTTGGCAGCATTAGTCTTAATATGAATTTGAAAAAGTTATTAAAACGGGATCTTCTTATAGTACAAGACAAATCCGAGAATTTGATAAATTTGGTTCAAAACTAAGTTCAAATATTTGAGTAATCAAAAGCCCACTAAGAACTTGCTGGGTATCAAGCAGTCTTCAAAGCTCTGGGGTAGTAGTATGGAAGAAAACTCATCCAACCACCAACTCAATCTCAAGGTGCTTGACATTTCTACTTGGGAACACAGATGTGAAACACGAGAGAACAGAATATAATAAAGCACAAAGTTTAGTGATGCAGACATTTTCTGGAAAGACAGGAATCAATACAGGCTAGGGAAAATGAGTTTAAACTTCAGAAATAAGAAACATTACACTCTTCTTCTTTTTGAATTTTTGGGGAAATGATTGACACTGTTACCAGACTTTTCCATGTAAAATTCTTTTGGTGTTATCATACCTTGAAACTTGTTGAATAGGAAAATTTCCAGGTATTTTACTCAGATCTTCATCTGTTATGAAGTACAATGTACTGGTATTAGTACTTCAACCCCACATCTATTAAGTTTTGATTAAGGGTTAAGAGGTTGGGAGGACAGTGATATTATTACAGGCAAGTTAGGCGACAGCACCAGGACAGCAACCCTCTTAGGGAAAAGAGAGTGCAATCTTATAACAAGCAAAACATGAAGCCTGGTGCCTTTTAGAATAGGGGCAATAAGCCCGGAGGGCATCTGCTATATAGCTGCATAAATGTAACTTTTAATGGTTCTGAATCAAGAGAAAAGGCTTGAAAGAATAAGAAAAAAAACCCACATATAATATATATTTGGTTAATCCTCACCTGAGGATATTTTCCCATTGATTTTTAAGAGTGGAAGGGAGGGTGAGAGACAGAAGTTGCAAAAAATAAATGTTGGTGTTTAAAGCCTTTGATGCTTTATTTGGGAAAGCTATTTCAACATTCACAGGGACCTAGAAAGAAATGCAGATTAAACAAAACCTTGTCTCCAGGACTTGAGGTATCTGTGTAATTCTAGGGAGTTACAAATGATTTGAAAAATCTTTGCTCTAAAGCAGGGCTTGGCAAAAGATTGTGTGCTGGCCCATTCCAAACCACGGCCTGCTTTTGTAAAACAAGTTTTATTCAAACAGAGCCACACTCATTTGTTTATACATTATGTATGGTTTCTTTTGTGCTGCAATGGGGAAGCTGAGTAATTGTGACAGAAACTGTATGGCTGACAAAGCCTAAATGATCTATTATTGGGCCCTTTAGCAAAAAGTGTTGCTGACGGCTGCCCTTACAGAATCTTCATCTTCCTGAGCAAAGATGAGGTTCCCACACTTAATTTACTTTCACTGAGCAGCCCTTGAGAACACAGAGCCAGACAGGGAACACAGAGAAGGGTTACAGCAACAGGAAACTGTACTCCTCAAAACACCAATGTATGATAATCCAAGCAAGGGTTTGTGAATCAAATAATGTGCTTATGTAAGTCAGTCCCCTGAGTTCTTAAGAAAACTGTCCCCAACCCTTCTTAGAGCTGCTTTTATGTCATGCAGCTTTCAGATAAGGTTCCCCACTGGGCAGGCCCTGACCTCCAGAAGCCCAGGTATGAATTCTTGCCAAGAAGGAAAAAAATGCTGAAATGCCACCCCAGACAACTAGATAGCATACTGGGAACTCTTTTCTCTTCACAAAACAGTTGACTCTATACCAGCTAGGATACAACAAGTAAATTTAGGCAGCTTTCCCAAAGAGGCTCAGTCTAAAAATTCATCAAAGGAATGAGCCATGGACTCCTCAAACTTATTCAACCCCTGATATTTAGTGCTCTACAGTGCCCAAGGCTTTTCTCTAGTTTCACCAACTATCCCCGGCACAGGCCCTCCACAGCTCTGTTTTTGGAATGATGACTGTGATATTTTTGGCTACTTCTTGAGAAAGGACCCATTATAATCCGGACATGCCAAACAGTATGCTAGAAAACTAAGTTCAAGAAAATAAACAACAAAATCACAAATAACCATAGTATTCTAGAAACGTTTCAAGTAGTAAAATTACACTTTAAGATCCCAAATATACTACAGATAGATCGTTCAGGATCCCAATGTAATGTTTAAGTACTGCTAAAAAAAAAAATCACAGATTTTTATCATATCATAAATTTGGCCTAAAACTAATAGGCTAGCCATAATAAACATTAAACATTTTATTAACAATAATTTTGCTTGCCTTCTTAGAATTTAGAAGGGCTTTTGGGGATGGTTTGGATGGCCCAGGTCTCTTAAAAAAGGTGTCCAAGGAAGTTTGAAATGATGCCTTCTTTGTCTCTCGATTAATGTCCCTGTAGCAAGCAGAGGCATTCACAATCATTGCATTGACTGTTAGAACTGGGCTCAATGTAGACGGTGTTCAAAATGTTATGTGGTTAATGAGGATGAGGATGGTATTTTTCCCCACTGAAGAATACTATCAGAAGTAGAAATTGATCCAACATTTCCCCCTTTCACCTTCTGCTACATTATATTTTATTCTAAGTTCTAACTTTAGGAGACCCACCTAGCACCACTAGGAATCTGAGAAGCAAGTTCAGAGAAGGGCAGGAGCCCAGACTTTTCCAGAAAGTCCTGGGTGTGCAGCGCTGCAGCTCTCACTGGCCAGCCAAGTGTGTGACTCTGGACAAGGGATTCAGCCTCTCCCAAGCCTCAGCTTCCTCTTGCGTAAAATGAGGGCCATGCTATTTCTATCCACTTTGTAGAAATGTTCTTTGAGGATTACTAATGAGATAACATACATTAAGCATCCACTATAGTGTATGGTACGTAGCAGATCCTCTAAAAATGATAAAATACAACGATTATTTCTCATTCTTTACTATCCCAGGGAACTGAGACTTTCAGTCATCAAAGGGCCATCATACATCACTGATCAGGTCAGGAACACCCAAGCAAACAGCTCCCACACGCTGCTTCTGCTCTGCCTCTGTCTGCTAGGGCACTGACAAAGGCTTCTGATGAAACAGTTAAGGGGACCCAGGTTGTTATGAGCATTAGGCAACAGCCAATGATCTCACAAGGAAAGGTACTACCTGGTGTTCTGTTCCAGAAAACAAGGGGTTCCTATGCTCACAGTGACCCTGGATTGACAGGCCTGTCATTAACACAAACAATGAAGATTTAATGTTGGTGTCTGACTGGGAGACCATTTGCACTTAATTTCGTGCTCCTGTTAAATAGCTCAAGTCAATTTGGATATGAAACAAAATTGTAGGTAAAAAGAGAACAGTGCAAAGAACAGTGGATTTGGATTTGAATCCCTATTCTGCAAATTATCATATGACTATTAATTAAGTTTTCTAAACTTGGTTTTCTCTACAGTCATTCTCTTCTGTGGCTTATGAGGATACAGTGGGCAAAAGTTAATGTCCTTGAATTCAGCAAAACTCAATAAATGTTTGTTTAAACATTGGAAATGTGGACTGGTTTTGAGAAAAAGAATAGAACCAGTAAAAATGAAGGAGCCTAAGTATCTGAGTGTACCTATCTACAGCAGAAAAGAGGGGCAAAATATATGGAGTAAAGGTAGGAAATAGGCTCCCAACATTTATGAGAAATATGAACTAGACATAGTTCACTTAATGAAATGTACACATAAAGTGACTCAGTAAAAGATGCTTAATCTACATTGGCACAGCACCTCCATTAATTAGGAAGGAAAAACCCTATAATTCTGACAGGAAACCCTCTTTATTGAAAGAAGTCATAATTTAACCTTATCTTCCCTTGAAATATTAATAGAACAGCCTGTACAACTAATATGAAATCCAATTATAAATATACTGTGACATCAGAAAAGATGAATAGCAGAGAATGGCTTATCCTCTTGGGTTCTGTTCTTCTGCATCCTGAAAGACAACTCCTACCTACTGTGTAACCCTCTCCCAATTAATGTTTGGAAGTTAATGGAAACACTGACTTTATGTATACCAAGTTAGTATCATTAAGATGGAATTCTCCCTGTATGGCAAATTTTTAGAATGCCACGTTTAGGTAAAATAGTCATTTATCAATCTTGAATTCATAGACATTTCCAGGTGCCAGCCTGAAGAGGAGCATGTGTGGCTCCCCCACACCTTGCATTAAGCCCTGACTCTAAAAGCTCTTTTATGGCCACCACAACTTCCACCTGGGCTGGACCCCATTAGCACAGCTTTCCAGCTAACAAAGCAAAGTAAGTGCGTTGCCTTATTTTATTTCCAGAACTCCTAAGTGAGGAAACTGAGGCCCAGAGGAAAGAAGCAATTTGCCCAAGGTCACACAGCAAGTCTGTAACTTGTGACACTTAAACTTAACTAATTTTCCATAGCTTATCCAAGTATGTAAGACTGAGGAGGATTTGGGGGTTCTCATGAAAAACTTTGGGCAACAGTGATCCAGCTAGCGCCCAAGATCATGAATTAGGAGATCTAAAACTTATTGGAACTGTCCTTGGACTTCTGTTCCATCTGCAATTCAGATATGCCACACAATATAAACAGCTTTTTCTAGAAAGTATAGAATAGCTTAGCCAGTCCGGGGGGGGGGATAAATGTTTAATTTCGTAAACACATGAAATTTTAAAAGGAAAAGAAAAAAAAAGAATTCCCCTTTTTTGAAGAAAGCCACCACAGTATCAGATAATCAATTATTTCCAATCACTTCCCTTACTATAAAATATGAAAATGAAAATGACCAGTAAGTCTCAGTTTCCAAATTCTTAATTACTTACCAAAGGTTCCAAGGTACTGATATCTTTCAGTTTATTTCCACTTAAATTTAGATGTGTGAGATTTGGAAGTTTTTCTGCCAACATGTCCAGACATCCAGAGATTCTATTGTCACTGAGCTCAAGCTGTGAGAGAAAATGCACACAAAACACACACAAATATACAGAGAGACATATATCATTAAGGTGTTCTAAAGAGCAAATACAGTTTTTAAATACTTACCAAGACCAAACCAATCTCTGTTGTTTTTTTTTAATATATTTTATTGATTTTTCACAGAGAGGAAGGGAGAGAGATAGAGAGCCAGAAACATCGATGAGAGAGAAACATCGATCAGCTGCCTCCTGCACATCTCCCACTGGGGATGTGCCCGCAACCCAGGTACATGCCCTTGACCGAATCGAACCCGGGACCCTTCAGTCCGCAGGCCGACGCTCTCTACACTGAGCCAAACCGGTTCCGGCCCAATCTCTGTTTTTATCAGTGCACGTATGTTCATTTTGTTTAAACCCAAATAAGTAGTTTACGGATCCCAGCAACATTTCCAGGGGAGGAGAGACAGGATAGGATGAGAAGTGTTGTGTTTTCTTAACCAGATACTAATTATAACAGTTTGCTCAAGTGAATGTATTTTCTAACCTAAAAAGTGGGTCACAGCAAATTAGAATTCTTTAAGAAGTTGTAATATGCTATACTTGCCAGGAAGGGTAACTGGTCCATGCATTCTAAGCAGCTTATTTAAGTGTGTGCCAAGCAAAGCCTGCTGTGCCCACTTGGAACCTAATCTGGTCCTTACAGCGTTGACACATTGTGGAGTTCTACATCTGGAAGCCACCAGGGAATCTGCTCTGACGGCTGTAGGAGGACAAGCCCCAAAACACACCCTTAAAGACGCTCCGTGACCTCAGGAAAGGGAGTGGGGCAACAGCTTCAGGGCTGATACAACCAACTCCCTGGAGGCCACTTCTTGCATAAACCTGGCCTTTACAAGAACCTACTCTAATTTCTTAGCTGCGGGTCAAGTAACACAGCAAACGGTGTGCCAATAAAGGAAATGAGCCTTCAGCAAGAAATATTAGAGTGAAAGATACTGGAGCATGGAAAAATTAGATGGTCGAGAGCATCTAATTCAAATTCTTCATTTTGCAGATGAGAAAACTTAGACCATACAGCTGGTATCAATCCCCTTTTTAAATGCCAACAACGGTAATTATATCTAACCCTTACTTAGTACTTAAGTGCCAGGTACTATTGAAAGCACTAGAAATACTACATGATCACTTAATCTCACAATAAACCGATGGGGTAGGTAGGTAGAATTATTACCCCCACTGACAGATGAGGAAAATGAACTACAAAGAGACAGTGAAATATGCCAAAGAGCTCACAGCTGTTACAGTGGTAAACCTATGATTTGAAGCTGGGCAGGATAGTTTCAGAAGAATCCATGCCCTCTGCACTATGCTGTGTACCTTGAAGAGCATGAAAACATAATGTGATTTCATCTATAGCATGCAATGAAATAATGAGCAGAACAGAGGAACTCTTTACTTTAAATAGTTGTTGAAAGAATGAGTTTAAAAAACAATTCAAGCCCAACTAGTGTGGCTCAGTGGTTGAGCATCAACCTATGAACCAGGAGGTCACAGTTCAATTCCCGGTCAGGGCACATGCCCAGGTTGTGGGCTCAATCCCCAGTAAGGGGCATGCAGGAGGCAGCTAATCAATGATTCTCTCTCATCATGTTTCTATGTCTCTTCTCTCTCCCTCTCCCTTCTTCTCCAAAATCAATTAAAGAAAAAATATATATATATAAATGAAGTCTGGTGCTTGGGTGTTATTAAATATTTCAGGAGAATGCAACATTTCCGAAAAAAATTTTCCTTCCAACGTGATACTCAGGAAACCTGTGACATTTATACACCAAATTTCTTTCAGATCCTGTTTTCTTGTTATAAAACAAGCCATTCTGGGGTAAGAAGAAAACAAAGTCCACATCAACTGTAAGAACATCTATATGCCTTTTAAGTCTGATTTATAGATGTCTCCATTCCTCCCTCACTAATTCTATAAGTAACAAATTAAAATAAGACTTCAAAAGGATTTGATAAAGCCTATATACATAGATGGTCACTGATACATTTACTTTCTAAGTCTGACAGTATACTGACCATAATAATTCAGGAAAACGTATCAGGATGCTAGGAAAACAGAACACAAAACACATACTACTAGGATCTGCTAGCATCAAGTTTATGTACATAGATAAAAAGCCACCAATTGTTTACTGAACTAATCAGAGCTTCCAGTGTCACCAATAACCAATGCAAATAAAAAGGATGACTCTTGAATCTCTACTTACCAGAGGAAAGGAAAAAATTTACCAATTTAAATATAACATGATTCTTTGATATAGGAAGCAGGGCACCCTGAAAACCATGGAGTACCTGAGCATTTATTACTTAAATAAAGCAAAGAAAGCATTTCTTGTTTTAATTCATGTGCATATGTAAAAAACAATTCCCCTCAGGACTCAAAAGCAAACTACAGGAACAGCCTACCTACCCCTTTGCTTAAATTTGATTATGAATTTCTTTCTGTGTTTATCTTTGTTTAGACAAAGTTTCAACATAAATTCCCTAATAAAGTGAATACCTAAACATAATCACATACCTTTCTGAATGTTAAAAAAAAAAAAGGTACTGGGTTAGGAAATAGGAAATATGGATTCTAGTTTTGGCTCTAGCACGAACCACTTTTGTGGGTGGCTTTAGGCAAATTACTATACCTTTCTAAATTTACTGATGTGTCTATGAAATAAGGGGCTAGGCTGGAAGACGAAGTTTCTTCCAGTTTTGACATTCTGGAGCTCTGTGACAGATAAATATGCAAGGACACAAGAAAACATGTCTCTTGTTTTTTTAAAGTAGGGGGTGGAGTTGGAGGGCAATAGTGATTGGTTTGCAATTAGACTAATGAAGAGCTAAAAACAGACCATCAGCTAGGATAGAGAAATACAAAACCTTTGTTACAATGGATTCTTGCAGCAAGTCATAGCACATTTTAAACTTCTAGTCATTAAAATTATGTAATGGGTTTGAATTATCAAAGACTATAAATCTGAAAAGTCTTTACTACTCAAACTCATCCTTAATCAACAAACATAAAACATGAGTGATAGGCACCTGTTTCCTAAACCAGAGCATACTAAGAACAAAATGTGTCTAAGATTATAACAACAAATTTATAACTAATAAATTATTCACAAAATAATTATTCTTCATAGCTAATATTTATTTAGCATCCAACATGTATTATTTCCAAACATCACAACAATTCTGTAAGGTCAGGTGGTATCACCAGTTTACAGGTGAGGAAATTGAGCCTTACAAGGATTAAGTAACCTGCAGATCACCCATCAAGGAAATGATAGAACTGGAATTCAATCCCAGATATGCCCAGTTCCAAAGGCTATGTGCTTTCTGCTACATTAAATGCTTCCTTACAGGTAAAACCATGTATTTTTCCCTTCCCGGTATGGTTCCTTTTTACTGTTAAAGAAAAAGCACTCACCTTTTTCAATTTTGGTAGTTTGGGGAGATTTGAAACTGAAATCAAGCCTACATTTATTAAACTGAGGAACTCTAAGTTCACAAATTCATCTGTTAAGCCCTCAATTTTCCCATCATCTGATTTGCAATTGTCCAAGACAAGTTCTCGAACCTGTAGATGACAAAAGAAAAAAGGAAAAGACAAGCTTTCAGAAACATACAGAAAAAAGCAAAAACTTCTACCATAAATACTCAGCAAAAACACCCACATACAGGGGCAGCCTTTAGATCACAGTTATAAATAAATGAAAAATGATTAAGCCTTTAGAAACAATATACTAATAGATACCAAGGGTGGAATGTTACACCACGAATAAAGATGTGAACTCTTTCTTTTCCAGAGACAGAAACTACAGTTCATAAGATAGAAGTGAAGAAACTGTATCTCTCCTATTTCTTTTCCTAAGTCTGTTCCCTTAGGGTTAGCTTTAACTATAAATGCAGAGTGAAGATAACCCTCACCCTCTTTTAGGCTGAGTCTATCTCAAGGCCCAAGAGACTGATACAAGGAAAATATGGAAGTTTTACTTTTCCTATCAAGATCACTAGGAGATGTTGGCAGCACTATACATTTCCACTTGTGGTATTATTAAATCTTTACTAAGATTATCTTGACACTTGGAATGGGTTAAGTGAAGTGTCAAGGTCTTAATTCAAAACAA